TGCAGCAAAAAAGACAGGCAGGGCCGGCTCCCCTCTCTGGTTCTCCTCCTCTCAGCCCCTGGCCTCAGGCCCACCCAGGCTGTCCTCTTGTGGAAACCAAAACTGTGGGTCCAGGAATGCGGGTCCATCTGCCCTGTGCTGGGAATGGGGCTTTGCAGCCTGGTGTTGGGTTGAGGCCACGTCGGGAGCGCCCTCTGCTGGCCGGTCTGTTCCTCATGGGGCCCTGAGAAGGCTCAGAAAGGGGCTGGCGCGTGGGGAGGGGTCAGGAGGGCATCCCCCCACCCTGGGGCGACCACTAACCTCTGTCCTGGTGGAGAGGGAGGAACAGAGCAGAGGCCAGAATAGGGGAGAAGTTGGTTTTAAGGCAGAGGTTTTGGCCGGGTGCGGCGGCTCACGCCTGTAATCCCAGCACTTTGGGAGGTCGAGGAAGGTAGATGCTTGAGCCCAGGAGCTTGAGACCAGCCTGGGCAACATGCTGAAATCCCGTCTCTACTAAAAACAAAAATTAGCTGGGCGTGGTGGTGGTGGGCGCCTGTAATCCCAGCACTTTGGGAGGCTGAGGCGGGTGGATCACCTGAGGTCAGGAATTTGACACTAGCCTGCTCAACACAGTGAAACCCCATCTCTAATAAAAATACAAAAATTAGCTGGGCATGGTGGTGTGAGCCTGTAATCCTGGCTACTTGGGAGGCTGAGGCAGGAGAATCACTTGAACTCGGAAGGTGGAAGTTGCAGTGAGCTGAGATTGCACCCACTGCACTCCAGCCTAGGCAACAGAGCGAGACTCTGTCTCAAAAATAAAGAAAGAAAAAAGAAAAGAGAGAGAAAGAAAGAAGGAAGAAAAGAAAGAGAAAAGAGAGAGAGAAAGAAGGAAGGCAAAAACGGAAGGGAGGGGAGGGGAGGGGAGGGGAGGGAAGGGGAAAGCAAGCAAGCAGAGGTTTCAGGCCTGATGCACCTGGGGGCAGCTTTGCCTGCAGCTGATACCTTCTGTAAGTCTTACCATAGTGGCCGGTGTTTTAAAACAGAGCTAGTAGACAGCACTTGAACCTCAGGTGTTTTAAATTCCAAGATCTGCCCACTCTGAGTCCACATGTCTCTGTGCATGGTTGGAAGGAGATGGGCAGAATGGGGTGGGGGCATGTGTTCCTGTTAGCCACAGACCCCACCAACCCCTATTGCCCTGTGCCCTCCTGCCTCACTTAGGCATATTTACCCTCCTGACCCTGTGGGCATTTGAGCCGCTCCCTGACCCCCCAGAGAGCCTGGAGCCTTTAGCCAGCAGGTGGTGTTGGGAGGCCTATGGAAGTGAACTGCCAAGGCCTGCAGCCTCCTTCCCCAGACAGGCCCAGCTCAGGGCATCTGCCTGAACCCCACCTCAACTCCAGAGAGAGAACTGAGGGGGAGACAAGTTCTCCCAGAGATGCAGCTCAGCATGCTGGGGGCCGGCTGCCCCACTTGACCTCCCGCAGCTGCTTTAGCTGGAGATAACACCCTGCTGATGACTTTGGCTCTCTGGAGGCATCAAGGAGTGTGTGGGCGCCTTCTAAGGGGCCTCTGCCATGACACAGGGAAGGAGCAGATTTAAGTCAACTCTGAAATTTGCTTCTGGTCAGCAGGGTGATGAGCATCTCGTGTGATGGGAAGGCAGGGCCTCAATGAAAGCCAGGGCTGCAAGAGCCCAGGAGGAGGCCAGGAAGGCTTCCCAGAGGAGGTGTCTTCTGAGCTGAAGTGGCAGGTCAGGGAATGAATGGGCCATTGGGGCTGCAGCACTGGGCTGAGGCCAGATCAGACTGGAAACTATGCTTTGTGCTGAGGGCAGTGGGAGCCATGGAAGGTGTGATAGGAAGGGCAGACAGCTCCTGCAGCAGGACGCCTGGAGACCATAGTTCCTTGCATCCCATTTTATGGATGGGGAGACTGAATATCAACATTGCTTCAGGGTCTGGAGCCCCTGTGGCCTGGTTTGCATACGGGAGTGAAGAGAAGGGCCAGCTCCAACTTACACTTGCTGAGCAACCCAGAGCGAGTCACCATCTCCCCAAGCCTGTTTGTGCATCTGTAAAATGAACCTTGCACTCCACACCTTGCCAAGTTTGGGGGAGAAGGGGCAGGCCTGGCCCACGTCATCCCCAGCCTCAGCCACCCCACAATAAGCAAAGGGCCTGCCATCTCACGCTTTCACACTCTCACCTTGCATGGCTATTGGGGAGGCAGAGCTTGCAGGGAGGGAGCCTTTTACCTGCAGGGAAACTGAGGCCCAGAGAGGGTGAGTGGGCAGCTCAGGTCTCAAGGCCAGGGCCTGGCAGGCCAAGCCAGACACCTTCCCTGCCGGGCCCATAGCCCCCAGGAGCAGGAGTAGCCAGGCCTGACGACAGACCCAGGCCCTGCTGTGTAGGTCCCCACTTCCCCACGCCCCAGTCCCGCCCATGTCTAGGGCTTGTCTGACCGATGCCCCTAGCCCCTCCCGGTGGACACAAAGGCCAGGCCTCCTGAAGAGGCGAAGAGGCGGCAGGAAGGGGCTCCTGCCAGCTGGGCCGTGGATGCAGGCGGGGAAGTAAGCGGAGACAGGAAGGAAGCCGCACAGCAGGAGACTGGGCCGCCATTGTGTCACCTGGGGGTGGGGGCGACGTGGTCCGCCCTCAGATGCCTCCCCAGTACTGGAGGGCAGTGTGGGTCACTGGACCCTCCTCTCTGGGTCCCAGCCTCCTGCTGACTTCCTATCTCCACCTCAGCCTCAGTTTCCCCATTTATAAAACCTTAGCAGTCAAGATCTTTGGGAATTATACAGTAGCATTAAAGCAAGTGCCAGGCCGGGCGCAAGTAGCTCACGCCTGTGATCCCAGCACTTTGGGAGACTGAGGCGGGCGGATCACCTGAAGTCAGGAGTTTGAGACCAGCCTGGCCAACATGGTGAAACCGTCTCCATAACAAACTTAGAAATTAGCAGGGTGTGATGGCGCACACCTATAATCCCAGCTACTCAGGTGGCTGAGGCATGAGAATTGCTTGAACCTGGGAGGTGGTGGTTGCAGTGAGTCAAGATTGTGCCACTACATTCCAGCCTGGGTAACAGAGCAAGACTCTATCTGAAAAAATAAATAAATTAGCGAGGGATGGTGGCTCATGCCTGGAATCCCAGCACTTTGGGAGGCTGAGGCTGGTGGATCACCTGAGGTCAGGAGTTCAAGACCAGCCTGGCCAACATGGCAAAACCCCACATCTACTGAAAATACAAAATTAGCTGAGCGTGGTGGGTCTCGCCTATCATCCCAGCTACTTGGGAAGCTGAGGCAGGAGAATCGCTTGAACCTGGGAGGTGAAGGCTGCAGTGAGCTGAGATTGCACCACTGCACTCCAGCCTGAGTGACAGATTGAGAATTCATCTCAAAAAAACAAGTGCTAGCCATTGCCTAGGCACGGTGTCATCTGAATTAACTCACTGAGGCAGAAAGACATACTATGCTGAAGGCACTTACTGTCCCACATCACAGAAGTCCCCAGAGCTCAGGGCCTTGCCCACAGTCACTCACAGGGAGTGGTAGAGCTGAGGCTGTAACCAAGGCAGCCATTCTCAAGTCCGGCTCCCCCTCTGATCTCCTGTCTGTGCAACTGCAGAGCTAATACATTCATTCATTCATTCATTCATTCATTCATTCGAGACAGGAGTCTTGCTCTGTTCAGGCTGGAGAGCAGTGGCGTGATCATGGCTCAAACCTCCTTGGCTCAAGCAGTCCTCCTGCCTCTGCCTCCTGAGTAACTAGGACCACAGGTATGAGCCATCCTATCTGGCTAATTTTTGTATTTTTTTGTAGAGATGGGGGCTCGATATGTTGCTCAAGCTGGTCTCAAACTCCTGGGGTCTCAAGGGATCCTCTGGCTGTGGCCTCCCAAAGTGCTGGGATTACAGGCATGAGCCACTGTGCCTGGCCTAATTCTTTCCTTTAAGTAACTGACTTGTTAAGGTTAAATACCTGTGAAGTTTCATCTAAATTGTGACGTCACCAGTTTAATGTTGATAAATTATAGACAGATTGGTAGGTGGGTAGATAGATGAATAGATAGATGATAGACAGATGATTGATGATGATGATGATGATGGATATAGATGATATATATGTGATCGACGATAGATATTGATGATAGATAGGTAGAGATAGAGATGAATAGATCTGATCTATAGAACAGATACCCCATGTTGGTAATTGTAGTAGAATTAACACCCAATTATGAAAACTCCCAGGAAATCTCATTGTGTGAGCCCCTGAAGTCACCCTCCCACCCTGGGGCCCTTGGGCTCTGTCATAGGGAGGCTGAGCCCTTCGAAGACCAGAGGCAGAGCCACAACTCCCATTGTATAGATGTGGAAACTGAGGCTGGTGGGGGGGGATTTGTGGACAGTCACGCAGCCAGGAGGAGCAGGCCTGGGGGACTCTCCCCACAGTGCCTTTGTTCCCGTATGAGGCCTCCAGGGGCTTCCTTCCCCCACCACACGCCAGCCTTGCTCTCACCACACACACACAGGAGGCTGCTGGGACTGGTGCATGTCTCCCTCCAGGTGGTATGGGAGAAACAGGAAACGCCCCAAAGGAAGTAGGGGGAGAAGAAAGCCTCAGGGCCTCCGAGGAGATGGCTTAGACCGGGCAGGACATGAGTCCCCCAGGACTGACCCTCCCCACTAGGGCTGAGCTGTGGCAAGAGCCTGAGCCCAGCGGCCCTGGGTGGGGACCAGCCCAGGCCACGCCTGCCCCTGCCTTTCTGTCCCCTGGGCCCCAATGGGACCTTCTGGCCTGTAGCCAGGCACCCTCCCCAAATGGAATGCCGTCCGACACCCCTCCCTGGTCCATCCCATCCCCGAGAGCTTCAGCGACCTGGGGACAAAGTGAGAGGGTTGGGTCTTCTCTGCAGTGTCAGTCTCACCGTCTCCCAGCCCCCAGCTTCCAGAGCTACATAGCACCGGCCCCACCTCAGCCTCCCTCGCCCACCCCGCAGCAGCCGAGTGCCTGCAGCCTGCTCAGAGTTTATTGAAAGTGGAGTGGGGTGGGGGGGGCAGAAAGCACACAGGACCACAAATCTCCTCCCCCAGCTGCCCCAGGGTGGGGCTCCAGGTGTCCTGGACATGGGATGAGCCGAGGCTTGCTCCTGGGGCTGCAGGTGCCGCTCAATAGCCCCGGTCCCTGCAAACATCCAAGGCACGCCCCTTAGCTCCCACCCTGCCCATGCACAGACCAGGGCGGGAGGTGGACCGTGGTCCTGCTCCCGTGGCCCTGCTCTCGTGGCTTGATGTGCAGGGCTGGCAGGGAGAGGAGCAGGGTGGGGTGCCAGGCAGACAGCCCCCTCCCCAGGCGGAGGACGGTCCCCAGATCAGGGTGAGAAGAAAAGTCCCTGCTGGGGTGGGCAGTGTGGGGTGGGAATGGGCAGGGCCCTGGGTTGGGGGCAGAGACCTTACCCCCAGCTCAGGCCCCTCTTGGCCAGCTCCACCTGGGCCAGGTGGTGGTCACTCAGCACCCGCACCCTGGTGATGATGCCCAGCGGCCTCTGACGGTGCGGGAACTGCAGTACCTTGTGCTCCTGCGCATAGACGTGGAAGTGCTCTGCGTCCGAGCTGACCTCCATCTGGGCAGGCCGGGGCCAGTGACCTCAGTGCCGGCCCCAGGGCCCAGGGTCTGGTCCTGCTTCTAACGGGGATATGCCTGCAGGCCGTCTCCAGGTAGCACAGGCTGGCAGGCCCCGGGGGTCCCCTGGCTTAGTGCCCCCAGCCCGAAGCCCCCTCCTTTCTCCCAAGATGGGTGGCTGGTAGCCAAGCTAGTGGGCACCCACTGCACAGGTGGGGAAGCTGAGGCCAGGGAGGCCCACCCAGTCCCTGCCCTGGCCTGCTGACCTGCTAGCATCCACTGTGAACCCCCTGCCCACCAGCCCCTGTTCCCCCACCGGTGGCCCCTGCCCGGCCCAGGCCCCACCCAGGCCCCACCCAGGCCCCTGTCACCTCAAAGGGCTCCCCCACGGCCAGTGGGAAGATGTTAGACACCTCCTCTGGGCCCCAGTGGCCGCCCTGGAAGGCGTTGCCCACCACGGTGGCGCTGGAGAACCGGGGCTTGACGTGGAAGGCAATGTCCCCCGTCTCCGACAAGAAGTTAATCTCGAACCTGGGGCGGACATTGTTCGGGTCAAGAGCTGCAAACAGCCAGGCCAGCCGCCCAGCCCAAGGCCCAGGGAAGGGAGGGCAGTGCTGCTGACCTGTCCTCTCCAGAGTCAGCCTGTCCCTGGACCAGCAGGCTCCAGCCGGGGGCCAGGCCCCCCGCACAGAAGGCTTCAAACTGAGCGCAAGAGACAGGGGTGCCAGCCTCACGGGGCTGCAGCCTCCCCTCTCCCACTCCACCCCACCTGTTCAGGAGGGTCCCTGCCCACCCAACCTGCCCCCAACCCAGTGCCAGGCACGGACTAACACTCTGTTCCTCTGGTGTCTTTGTGACAGGGTGGGAGAGACATGCCTGTCCAGCAGGCCAGCTCTGGGGGGACATTTACCCCCACGCCCTCTCAGCCCTGAGGTCTGATGAGAGGCCAGAGCCAGGACCCCCAGCTCTGTGCAGAGAGCATGGGTAGCTCAGGGAGTCCCCAGTCCTGCCCCGTTCTCCTTCCCCAAGTCCAGGGTCTCACCCACCTGCACCGCCATCTGCTCGCAGCCGCTGCGGGAGGGCACTGGGAGTCCCGGGATATAGATGGCGGAGGGGGGCTGGGAGCACAGAGGCCCCACCCCCAGGTGGCTTGACAAGGTCTCTGTGCCCTTCCCAACCCGTATCTCCCTCCCCCTGGGGCCCCTCCCTTCCAGCTGGTTCTCCATGCAGGCACAAGAGATGGGGCCACCTGGTGCTGCCCCCCAGGCCCTTTCCTGCCGGGGGCTCTCACCCACTTTACTCCTTCAGGATCAGGGAAAGCAGCTACTCCTTTTCCACAGGAACGACACGTTCTGGGCAGGGACCCCGGCCTGGCTCTTCCTCCCTGATCAGGCGTCCCTCCAGGGACTTGAACCCTCCCATCAGCTAAGGGCAGGTTTGGGATGGGAGGCTTGGCTGCTGACCCCTGCCCTGGCTTCTGGGGTCCCATCTGATGGCCTGGTGCTGCAGGGCCTGTCCCCCAGCCCACCCTGGCTTCCCACACCCAGCCCTGCCGCCCGCCCCCATCGGCTCAGCAACCCCGTGGGGCATACCTCGGGGATTACGACGCTCTGGTCAGCGCATTCCAGGCTCTGGCAGGCGAGGGGACGGCTTTTCCCACACCCGGGATGCCTCCCCGCATCAGGCTAAGCGTGGGAGGGACCATCTGGGCCCTCAGGGAGGAGGGGAGGGTGGACAGAGAGAGGCTCAGGCTGTTGGTCAGCTTTGGGGCCCCCAAGGAGGGGAGCCAGCCCGGAGTGGACCCAGAGTGGACCCGGAGTGGACCCAGAGCGGACCCGGAGTGGAGCCGGAGTGGAGTCGGAGTGGACCTGGAGTGGATCCAGAGGACGGGGCACGGAGCCCCAGGGCTGCTGGAGCGGGTGTGTGTGCAGCCGTGTGCAGTGCGTGTGCAGTGACCTCGTGGGTGAGTGTATCCTGGCCGAATGTCGCACGACTGCGTGAGCCCATGAGCGTGTGAGGCGTGGGGTGTGAGTTCCAGAGTGTGCCTCTGGGTGACGGGAGGGTTGCAGTTTTCCTGCCTGTGTGTCTGGAGAAGCCTGGCCCCAGGGCTGCTCCTGCCGGGATTCTTCATCCTCACGTCTCCTCCCACTCGGTCCCTGTGTTCGAGTGGGCCCTCCTGTCCCTTATCCGCAGGAGTCCCCTCCAGCGATTCTCTCCAGGCCCTGGCAGGGCTGACCTGGGTCCTGTCGGCCTTCCCACGGGTGCTGCCCCTGGGCCTGTGCCTGGACATCCTGGCAGGAGCAGGGGGCTGCTGAGGCCGGGAGGGGCTGGGAGGTGGCTGTGGCTGTCTGCCGGCCCCCTGGGTGGTGCAGCACAGTGCAACCCGGAGGCTGTGGAGTTGCCTCTCCTCCCTGGCTTATGGCAGGCCTGGCTGTGGCCCTGCAGGGGGCGGCCCTGGGCAGCGGAGGACCAGCCTGCCTGCCTGCCCCAGCCACATCCGCGTCCTGGGGCCCAGCAGGCTGCAGGTCCCTTCTACCGGCCTCCCCCAGAGAAGCACAGAGAGGGAAACCCTCACCACAGCAGGAAGGGGAGCCAGTGCCGCCTCCTGGCTCCCTGTCCTGACCCCGCTCCAGGGGCAGCCCTGGTTTCAGCTTTGGGGTGAGGACACAGAGCTGGACTCTGGATACAGGGCCCAGGGCCAGAGCTCTGCAGAGCATGGAGTCAGGGGGCTGGAACAGGCCTCCCACCAGCTGGCAACCTGGCGCTCGTGGCCTCTGAGCCTCAATCTCTCCAGCCATGCACTGGGTGCAGCAGTCCAGCAATGCCGACGTCTGCTGTCCATGCCTGTGTCCTGGTAGGGGAGGGTGGCCTGGGCAGCCACAGCACTGGACACAGGAGCCCGGCCATCGTCTGCTCACTTTGGGGTCTATAGGGGTACTGGCTGAGGGCCTGGGTCTCAGAAGCTGCCTAGAGCCCCAGGCATCAGTGTCCCTGTGGGCGGCGATTGAACCCCAGACTTGCGGGATAGGACGTCTGGGTGCCATTGCCTGGGCCCCCACAGCTCTCAGAAAGCTGTGTCCCTCCGACTCCCCGGGGAAAAGCAGGCTGGCCCTCGTCCCCATGGAGACACATGTACCTGGCCTGTGTGTAGACTTGTGACCTCACCCCGTTTACTGTGGCTTCGGAGCCTCTCCCTCCTGGGGTGAGAGCCAGGAGCCACCGAAGATCTCAGCAACCGGGACAACCGAGGGCCCAGAAGTCAGAGCCGGATAGGGGACAGGGAGAGACCCCGAGCTCCACGGGCACAGCCCATCCTCAACCCTGACTCCAGGGAGTGTGGGTCCAACCCCGGTCCACTTCCTGCTGGCCCAGCCTCAGGGGTCAGGGTGGCACAGCGGGCAGTGCCCGTGCTGAGCTGCTGGTTGGGCACCGGCCACCGGGTGATGTGGTTTGGGGCCCGGGAGCAAACAGACCTGTCCTCATCCCGTCCCACACACCCACCCGGATACGTGGGTTTGCCCAGGGCTGTTGACCTTCACAGGCTCCCGCCTCCACTCAGCTGGTAGTGGAACTTCACCAGGAGGGGCCTGGGCTCTGGGGCCAGTTCTGAGTCCTGAGTCTCCGTCACCAGGCGGTGCCCAGCATGGAGCTGGCAGTCAGGGATGTGGGGGAGAAATCCTGCCCATCCCATAACAACCACCACTGCGTACTGAGAGCTCACATCGTGCCAGGCGCCAGGCTGAGTTGTTCACACGTGTTAAGGGTGGCTCTGTTACTCCCCTTGAGAGAGGGTTATGAGAGCACAGAGATGTTAAGAGACTTGCCCAAGGTCACACAGCGAGGGAGTCACAAAGACAGGATTTGAACCCAGCAGTCTGCCCCAGAGTTTGTGCTCCTAAACACCATGCTAGACTGTCCCCTGCAAACAGAGCACCCTCTCCAGGTTGGGATATGGGGCTATCAGGGTTGGCTTCCCGGAGAAAGAGTCGCCTGAAATAGGTCTTGAAGAATAAGTAGGAGTTAGAAGGTGGTGGGGAAGGGTGCCCCAGGGAGCAGGAACAGCAGGAACAAGAGCGGAATAGAGGGCCCAGGAGTGGGAGGCAGGGCTGTGCTGGGGGTGGGGGTAGGACCGGCCACACTGGGCACCAGATCTGACACACCTCAGTGTCCCCAGAGCTGCCTGGCACAAGCTTCCCAGGGGCCATTTAACAAGGGTGGTGTCATCTTTCTTGGAGCCTGGCAGAGCTTCCGTGGAATTCCTGGAGTCAGGTGTCAATGCGCCCATTTGAGTGATGAGAAAACTGAGGTTTGGATAGAAGAGGTCACCCCATGGCCACGCAGTGAGGAGGCAGCAGACCCAGATGCCAATACAGCTTCTGGACTCCCCATCTGGTGCTCCCCTCGGCCCCCGTCCTCCTCCTCTCCTGTCCTGCATTCCAGCCAGCACTGAGCACCAGCCTGGCCTGACCGTGGATGATTCTGGGGGTCCTGGCTCAAGGGGAGACTCAGGTTAGGCTGGCCCTCTTCTCAGCCTCAGTACCCTCTGAAGCGTCCGGGACCTTCCCAGGAACCTCCTCCCCACTCCCGGCCCACATCTGGAACTGCTCGTCCAGATGGTGAGGTCAGCACGGAAATTCTCAGCCCCCGCTGGAGGAGGCAAGGGCAGCTCCCGCCAGACCAGGACAAGAGCCGACCCCAGGACGGATGGACACGGGCCAGCCCTGCCCCAGGGAGGCCCAGCTCCTCCTCCTGTCAGGCCTCGGTGCAAGCACACCCTTGGGTCAGGAGGGAGGTAAGCCGTGTGTGGAGAGGGCCAGGGCAGCTGGAAAGCACTGTGCCGTTGTTATACGGTTGGGGAAACTGAGGCCCATCCGGGGGTGAGGGCTTGTGGGGAGCTGACAACAGCAGGGCGGGCACCAGAGCTCTGACCCCAACACTTGCTCTTGAGTCCCTGTGGGAACTTGGCCATGGGTCCCGTTAAAGCCTGGGGTTGGCTAGGCATGGTGGCTCACGCCTGTAATCCCAGCACTTTGAGAGGCCGAGGTGGGCGGATCATGAGGTCAGGAGTTTGAGACCAGCCTGACCAACATGGTGAAATCCCCATCTCTACTAAAAATATAAAAAAATTAGCCGGGCTTGGTGGCATGCACAGGTAATCCCAACTACTGAGGAGGCTGAGACAGGAGAATTGCTTGAACCTGGGAGGCAGAGGTTGCAGTGAGCCGAGATTTCACCACTGCACTCCAGTCTGGATGACAGGGCGAGACCCCACCCCACAAAAAACAAAAAAAAAAAAAAAGTGACTGGGGTTGGCCGTGGCTGGGGAGCACTGATCCCAGGCTGACGAGGACCCCTGGGCTCTGCAGAGGGACAGCGGGGTCCCTCACTCCCCGATACTCCCTCATCCGTCCCTTCTAAATCCTCTCACAGCTGTCCCCAGCCACCACCTGTCCTGAGTTCCTCTCTCTAAGTTCAATCTTGTAGAACCTTCCTGGGCCCCTCCCTGCCTCCTTCAGGACAGAGGGCACTTTCCATCAAGCCATTAATTGAGGCCCTACTGTGTGCCAGGGGCTGCCTGGGACCCTCAGAGGCTGTAAGAGAGGAGTGGTTCTGCACCTGACCCATGTGGGACCCCCCGCTCCCCCATCTCCTGCTCTCCCGGGCGGCACACAGTGGGTGCCTGGGCAGTGCCGTGACGCTGCCATCCTGGATGCAGGGCAGGTGAAGGCCTCCCAGGTACTAGAAATAAGCCAGGGAGCCCCAGCTCCTCCCAGCCCTAATGGCTATTGCTTTCAGCTGAGCCCCTGAGGTGTGCTTCACTATAATAATTACATTATTATAAAAGAATAAAATAATTTTATTATTGTTTTTTGAGGTAGAGCCTCACTCTGTCACCCAGGCTGGAGTGCAGCGGCACGATCTTGGCTCACTGAAAGCTCCACCTCCTGGATTCAAGCGATTCTCCTGCCTCAGCCTCCCATGCAACTGGGACTATAGAAATATGCTATCATGCCTTGATCATTTTTGTATTTTTAGTAGAGACGGGGTTTCACCATGTTGGCCAGGCTGGTCTCGAACTCCTGACCTCAGGTGATCCACCTGCTTCAGCTCTGGGGGTGGTCCGCCTGCCCCACAGCCCTGATGGGGAAGCAAACCCGCTGCCCATTCCGTTATTCTGCAAATCTCTGTTGAGCACCTGCTAGGAAGTCCTGTGTGATAGTGAATAAGATGGACAGATGGATACATTCCTTGCCCTCACAGAGCTTCCGGTGTCTGAGGGAGGGGCAGACACTAAATGGCAAAATCCAGCATTTCATTATTTAATTACTATTAATATTATGATAAATGCTCTGAAAGGGAAAAGATGGGGAGTGACAATCATGTATGCTGGAGGGTACTGGCCTTGATATGGGCAGTCAGAGAAGACTTCCTGGAGGAGGCGACATCAGCACAAAACCCAGAAGAGAGAAGGGAAGGGTGTTTCTGGCAAAGGGAACATCCGGCACAAAGGCCCTGGAGTGGGAAGAATCGG